ATTATTGGTTTTTTTTTAGAATCAATATTTGTAATCGACATGGATAGAAAACGGGGCAAAAAATAACCAAACATCTTTTAACTTCAAACAAACTAATGTGGAAAACAAGTTGATAATACAGAAATTCCTTTTTTACACGCACTAGATCTTTTATTATTATCTTGTTTTGATATAATCTGATTTGCACATCTTCCGCCATGTAAATTAAACAGTACTTATGTACGTCTGGTATCTGTCTATGTTAGATGTCTTTCTGCTTTGTAACCATCTGATGAGTTTAGCTTTTTTCAACTAATGTTTTTACTATTACACCACTGTCCCAGGTTAGGGGAGGGATGGAGCCTTCAAACTAGTTTAAACCCGCCACAATCTGTATGTGCGTGATCCAAGTTAGGAGCCTGTAATACCGTTGTTGTCGTTTGTTGCTGTTTATCATATTTGTTTTTCGTTAATTATTTTGTACATAAATCAGGCCGTTAGTTTTCTCGTTTGAATTACATTTCTCATTTCGGGGGATTTTATAGCTGACTATGCGGTATGGGTTTTTCTTATTGTTAAACGCCATACGTTGACCTATAGTTGTTCATTTCTGTGTCATTTTGGTCTCTTGTTGTGATTTGTCTCATTAGCTAAGCATACCACATCTTATTTTTATAAACCTTTTAAGTCAAAATTGTCGCAATCGTCTGGCAACTCTTTGTAAGAGTTATTGTCCTTGAATGACAATTTTGACCAATTTTTATTGTTTTTGCAAGAAACTATTAGAATTATGCTTACTGCATTGTATCAATTTAAAGCAAAAGTGCCAGATAATCGAAACAGGCTTCTCGGATCCTCCAGTTTTTATTTGTAAACGTAATCAAAATTTCGTGGACGGTGCAAACAATTACATTTCAATGTACATTTACTAATTAATCAATTTCCAACACTCTAACGTTATGTAATAATAATTTAATTTTGGATGTAACGCGTCTTCTGTTTGGCTGACGTTGTTTTGTTTATCAGCTCATAGACATAATTTTGTCATGTGACCGTGACGTCATCAACGTTTTTTCATGGTTTACTACGGTTTAAAATGGAATTTAGAATTAAATTATAAGAAATGACTGTAATATTTTTTCTGTCTATTCGAAATAACATAAAAAATGTGGTGCACACTTTAAAATAACCCGCTACGCGGGTTATTCAGTGTGCACCACATTTTTGATGTTATTTCTTCATAGACAGAAAAAATATTACAGTCATTCCTTAAATATATAATCTATTATCAATATAAAATCGTGTTATGTTTTTACAACTTGTTTGATAAAAAAAAAATGGAATTATATGTTTATCGAAGTACTTGATACTCATTTACAGTAGAAAACATAAATCGTTAAAGATATAAACAACATTATTTATTACCATAACTATTATCAATATCAAAATACCTACTCTGCATGCTTTTGCCCTCTAGAAAATATACGTTTACTTATGACTTTAGATTTTATTCAAAAAGACATTGTGCGGAAGGAGAACAGTTGGATATAGGAAATTAAAAAAAAAAATGGTTAAACTTACTTTTTTAGTTATTATCATGTGTGATCTAACCGTCGTTATCATGGGTAGGTACGCTATTATATCATAACCAATAATGGTTAAGTTGTTATTTATATTAAAGTCATATGGAACGAGTTTCTTGAAATTTGAATGTTCTCAAAATTTTTGAACCAATGCATGCATATATACTAAATTAAGTCTTGCATACACGTTTTAAACATTTATTACTCATCAATAACGTATTATCGACAAATAATATTTCATTCAGTGGTTGTTGATCGCAAGCTAATTAATTTTCGAGTTTGTTACCGAAGTCTACCGGAATGTGACATTGATAAACAATGAAAACAGAGCACGTGGAAAGCGTGACAGATAATTGAATAGAAAGAGCCATGACATTTGTTTTTTATATTTTCCATGTGTTCCCATTCGTCTCTTTCTTTTATTTAAATGGTAATAATAAACTCACCGGAGGCTCGTTTATTATTATATTGAAATTAAATAACTCGAGTTGATATCAAGCGATATCCAATTCTCACTCGTTATGAAACCTATAAATAAAATTAAGAGCATTCCATTATAAATAAATTAAATCAAACAGTACAGAATGTGTGTTTCATCTTTAAGGACGGTGTCACTCTGGTTACTATCACTGTACGGGTTATACATGGTGTTGTCCTTATGGTTATTCATGCACTGGATACTCAAGGTGCCCTAAAAGTCATCATTCTTCGGGATCGTCAAATGTTGGGTACGTATTCGAAAAAATATTTAATACGCAAAAAGATAAGTTAAATCCAGTTAAGTGAAGTTGAGTAAAATTTGTGTCAATGGAAGGAGAAATACCGAAATTCAGTTTATTTTTATTTTTAAAGGGGCATAAGCTACGAATTAGACACACAAATACTTTGTTTGGTTTCAAACATTCATTAAGTAGAATGTAGAATTAACAACTACGTTGAGAGCGAAAATATCAGATAACTGGATTTCAAGAATGTTTCAATATTTCATTGTTTTTTTAATTATTGTAGTGCTATAGTTAGAGGCTGCATAGGTGGTTTAGTTGGACTTTTTATCCTGATTTGTTGCATGGTCAGCTGTTGTGAAAAATGTAGTAAGTTATACTTCTTTTAAAATATCAAAAGCCATGTGTCAAATAAAATATCATTAAACTAGTATACTCCTATCTTGTTATCAACACAAATTGATCCTTCGTGTGTAAATGAAAAGTGAATCACATTGCCCGTGAAATATAATAAATATTTCAATTTTTTGGGACAGTTTGTCGATGTTTCGTAAATTATACAATAGTTTTTGTTTAAAGTCACAGTTGTAACCTCACGAGAAGAAGTCGATTTAGGGAATAAATGGTGTCAGTTAATAAAATTTGAAAAATTCAAAGGAAAAACTCAGAAACGCATTAAAGTAATTAACTGTAAAGAAACAACAAAACATGGAAAATGATATCAGCTGGACATTAGACTCTTGGCTTAGGACATATACAGACAGTATATGCCTGGTTTACAAATGTTACTTAGTGTCTAATCCTCCCCTAACATCGGACAGCTGTGTAATAGCACTCTATCAGAACACACATTAAAATTCAGGTGAAAAAGGACTTGACTCTTCAGATAGTTTTTTAAAGTAAACAGTATAATAATGTCATATTTTTAATTTTCAAATTTTAATAATTGATTATATAAAAATGAGCTGCATTATTTAATACAACAACTATTAATAAAATAATCAAAGGGACTGAGAACTTTGCACACCAAAATATAAATCAATGTTCGTATTCTATTTCAGAAAAGTCAGGAAAGGTCCAATCAATTAACAAACATTCAGGTCGTCAAAATAGAAACACAACAACTGAGAACCAACAACAAAATGCTAGTGACGGGTTCGGGACAAGACAGCCCATTCATGTACAACCATCACTTCCGGGCTCATTCGAACCAGGACATCCACCATCTTCTCATCATATATAGGACTTCTTCTGTATGATACCAATGTTATTTATTTTGAACATTGATTTTATTTACGAAAATTTATAACTTTATCATTGGTTTGGTACGGAAGCCATAAAGAGACCTATAAACAATAAACTAATCCATGATCTAGGATCTCGGATCCCGAATCCGTTATCTTGGTTTAATAATCTGTAATCTCGGTTTCCTAACACGTGATATAGTTTTCCCAATCTGTGATCTCGATTTCCCAATCTGTGATCAGAAATAATAACTGTCTTTAATCAATCATTAGTTAGTAGAGTGTTTTTTATATCCATGTAGTGCCAATCAATAATAAGCCACTAACCCTTACTATTCTTTTCATTGTTTTCTAATATCATAGTTTAAAAAAACATTTTCTAATCTTATAAAATCCTTGTTTTTTTCATATATTGTTTAAGATAAAAAGTGCCAATCTTAAATGTATGAAAAAAATATATAGAATTTTCCCAGCCCAATTTCCAATGGCTTGTATACCATAAACAAGGACACGTATATTTCATTTTCTGCCTTTTTAGTTCCGTTATTTATATAGTATCAAATTATAACAATCTTTTCAAACGCTTGTTTTTTTAAACAGATGGCAGCGAACATCCTAAATACAATCTGCATAGAGGTTTTCCTGTTTGGATTGTTTTACACTTGTCATTTTTTGGCCCTTTATAGCTTGCTGTTCGGTGCGAGCCAAGGCTCCGTTTTGAAGGCCGTACTTTGACCTATAATGGTTTACTTTTTACACATTGTGACTTGGATGGAGAGTTGTCTTATTGGCACTCACACCACATCTTCTTATTCCTACCATAAGTCGAAAATAAACACAATGGAAAAAAGAAAAAGACAAAAAACAAACAGTTCACAAAGCACATCATAGATAAAATAAAGACTGAGTAACACAAACCCAACCAAAAACCGGGGGTGATATCAGGTGCTCTTGAAAGGTAAGCAGATCCTGTTTCACATTGTAGCACCCAACGTGACGAGATCTACAAATACGACAACATCGACGAAATTGTCTTCTTGTAGGAGTTATTGCCTCAAAAGACGATATTATTACCTATTTTGTTTTGTCTTTTGCCAAACATATTATAGAAAGATAGAAACTGTAAACAGCAAAAATAATCAGCATAAAAGAGAATCCGGTTATGAATTGCACCCAAATCTTTAATGTTGGCGAGCGGCCATTGTTGAAAATGCACATAGATCCAGGTAAGCGACTCGTGCTCAATAGTTTCTGTTTCTACCTATGAGCAGTGACTATCTGAAAAATTTTAGGACGCTCTAGTTGTTAATTTGTACATTTAACAAACATTCGTCTGTCAAATTTGAAGGAACAAGGATCCTGTATTGGGGAACAATGTATTATAATGTGACGGTGTGTGCTTTTTTTCCTGGATTAGATACGTAACTGACAACCCAGCAGGAGGAAAATACATATTTCAACCAAGTTGAAAATAACAGTAAAACTATTTATTATTAAATGCACCATGGACACACATAAATATTTATATATAATGTAGTATTTTCTTGGCAGGAGGAATGCCATGTTAAACTGTAAACTATATCTTTGTACACCATACCAGTCCAATGAAAATAAATATGTAAATGAGAGAGTTTGTTTTACTTTAAGCTGGGATGTAAAAAATGTTCATTCCACGACATAAGCGCACCCCTTAGAATAACCTCATCTGGATCATGATCACTTGCTACAAGTATTGTATGTTCAGGATATTGTCGTTTCAAAGCGTCAACAAAAACCTGTTCAATAAAGTCCCCAGCAAGAAATAGAACACCAATGCCAGCAACCGATTCCTTTGCTAAAATATGATCAATAACTTGAAGTCTGCATTGAATGAAGTTGTCATAATAGGTCCAGAATAGTTCATATTTTATTTTCATTTCATCTCCTTCAAAATCAACATCTTTTTGTAAATGAGATTCCATGTGTGCTTCAGGTAAAGTACTAAAGTCTTCTAAAACGTCAAACCATACACGTGGAATACACATTTTGATATCTGTTTTCGGTTGAACGCATTTCATTTCCTTTTCGACATTGTAAAATAATGTCATGTACTCCAGTGGATGATTTTTTTGACAATGCTTTGTAACTTTTTTACCAAATAAATCGGAAATAAATTTTAAAACCGCTTGAGTAACACCTTCATATTGACTGAATACAGTAGTCTTCATCGTATAAGTATCATCTTCAACATTCATTATTGTTGAGTTAATTGCGTTATCTATAATAAAAGTAATAACACTTACCGATTAGTATGTAATAACAATAATATAAAATTAATTTAAAATTTGTTGTAATAGATATTGGGATCAAATTTGAAAGGAAGATTTACAATTCTTAAATACAAAATCTCCCATAAGGTACAATCTCCCCCCTAAAAAAAAACGAAACGGTTTGGAAGAATGTTTGAAAGCTTCTAGAATGAAAGGGATCAGGTTATGTTTTGTCTCCACTTTAAAGTCCAAAATAATAAAGAAAATATCCATATGTTGGCTTTCACAATTATTTAAACATATATTGTTGTCTCATGTATCATTTGACTTCCTAAGGAGTTGATTCACTAACCAAGAAATTTGGCCCTAATGATGTTTTTTTAAATGCGATAAGGTTGTAAAAACTTGAAGAATACGTATGTTAAAATGTCCAATTGTTTCAGGAAAAGAAGATTTTCACCAATTGCGTCATAAGTGATGTATTTGTGACGTCATCCATGTAGGTGACTTTCATTTAAACCAGATTTTTGCATAATTTGGCAAAATTTATTTCAGTTTTTTGCAAAATTAACTGTGGCGCCACCACTCACCCACAAATATTTTACCTAAATTATTCTTTATATACCATATTCTTTACTTTTGAATAAAAATTTTAATGAGCGAGGGGTGGCGCAATATATGAAAACACTAAATAAGGTGATAAAGGTGACAATTTCAAGAACAAATAACCTAAAATGAATTTGTTTTTCTATTACAGGCTTATATATTTATAATATATGAAGCAGACATACAACATTATTTTTCTTTTTTTATACTTCAAATATAATCCATTGACCAATACATACACAACTGCTAGTAGTCTGTTGTTATTTATGTGTTATTGTCATTTTGTTTATTTTCGTTTGTTTCCTATTCTGACATCGTACTCGGACTTCTCTTACACTGAGTTTTACTGTATGTACTGTTGTGCGTTTGTTTTTTCTACATTGGCTAGAGGTATAGGGGGAGGATTGAGATCTCAAAAAACATGTTTAACCCCGACGCATTTTTGCGCCTGTCACAAGTCAGGAGCCTCTGGCCCTTGTAAGTCTTGTATCTTTTTTAATTTTAGTTTCCTGTGTATAATTTGGAGTTTAGTATGACGTCCATTATCACTGAACTAGTATACATATTTGTTTAGGGGCCAGCTGAAGGACGCCTTCGGGTGCGGGAGTTTCTCCCTGCATTGAAGACCCATTGGTGGCCTTCGGCTGTTGTCTGCTCTATGGTCGGGTTGTTGTCTCTTTGACACATTCCCCATTTCCATTCTCAATTTTACATAAGATTTACCCAAACAACTGAAGTTTAAAAAAAAACCCTTTACAGGGCTGTTAATTTGTGTCACTGGCTGTACTCTTTTTTCATTTCTTTTCTTGTATAATTGTCTTTCAGATCGTTTCAAAAAAGGATTTTTGCCAACATTGACATAAAGGTAATCTGTATCATGAAATACTAAAAAAAATATAGAACTCTTGCAAAATATTAATCCTAGTTAATGTATATATAGTGAGTTTATCTTTACGAAAAGTATAGCAAACCTAGTATTCACATCTTTCACAGTGATCAGTTTCGTTTATAACTTCATATTTATATAATAAGTTGAGATCGCATGCAACTTCAAATTGCAAAAAAAAAGTTGAATATGTGACATTAACAACGAGACCTTTCGTTGGACAGCGCAAGTGCGAAGGGAAAACCGTGCAATTATGTAAATAAACGTGCACTAGAAGGTAAATAGTAATAACTGATTCGTAAAGAACAAATTTGATACAACAAATCATTTAACAACTGCAGATGACGATGGATATGTTCAAATTGTTGTAACTACTATCTTGTCCCATTTCCCTCGAATATGACCTACTGAATTAGACATATCACAGGGTTTGTACTAACATGAGCAACACGACGGGTGCCAAAAGTGGAGCAGGATCTGCTTACCCTTCCGGAGCACCTGAGATCACCCCAGTTTTTAGTGGGGTTCGTGTTGCCCAGTCTGTGGTTTTCTATGTTGTGTTTGTGTACTGTTGTTTATCTGTTTGTCTTGTTTCTTTTTTAGCCATGGCGTTTTCAGTTTTATTTTACACTTATGAGTTTGAATGTCCCTTTCGTATCTATTGCCTCTCCTGATTAACAAATGGGAGCGCATTGAAAATATAAAATTAACCCATATATCATGGCTCTATCAATTCACTTATTTATCACGTGCACCACGTGCACTTTTTTAATTGTTTATCAGTATTACGATCTTGTAAACTTCGGCAACAAACTCGAAGGTTAATAAACTTGCGATCAACATCACTGAATAAAATATAATTTGTCGATAATACGATTTAGATTCGTAATAAATATTAAAAAAAACTTGCATACAGGACTTAGTTAAGTTTATATGCATGCATTGGTTCAATAAATTCGATAACATAAGAATTACAAGAAACACGTTTCGTATGACTTTAAGTTAAAATGGATAATGTTTGTTTATAGCACGAAGTTTCGGACAACATATTGATTCTGACTATTTCTGAAGTGACCATAAATATATCAATGTTTGAAGAATACTAATAATAATTAAAAAGCAATAGACTATTTTCATATTACCGACTTTTGACTCCGGATTATATAATTTGTCGACTGGTTACCTTGGACATCATGGTACTTGGTCAAGTAAGAGCAACCAAAATATTTAAAATCAAACATATAATCGGTTTAATTTGAGGGGAAAGTTTACTGTTTTCCGATGATTTTGTAGTGAAAAAAAATGTTAAGCAGGTAATTTTCCCCCAAAATTGTACCGATTGAAAGCTTGGTTTTACTTCTTTAGCTTGCTCTTACCTGACTTGGTACCATGATGTCCAAGGTAACCAGTCGACAAATTATATAATCCGTAGTCAAAAGTCGGTAATATGAAAATAGTCTATTGTTCAGAGGACAATGGAAAGTTTTTCCACCCTTTTGATAACTTTTGGAACTGATTTCATTAAATAAGGGAGATAACAGGAACTTCCAGTGTCATATGATACGTTTGCCGTAATCTATCATATGAAACCATGAGTGACATTTTAAAATCGGAAGTAGAAATTTATCTCCATTCTTTTAAGCTATAAGTATGTAGAAAATTTTTTACTTTCGATTTTGAAATGTCACTCATTGTTTCATATGATAGATTACGGCAAACGTATTCCAAAAACATAAGGTTCTAAATACGTTTATATTAAATAAGTGAAAACCTTATCAAGTTTAAAAGACATAAAAATAAGAATACTTTATCATGTATGCATATGAAGTTATAAGAAAGATCAAAATCTAGAACGTAAAGTTTACCTTTGACCTCAAATAAAAAAAAACATAGGTCTCTACCACTTACAGTTTAAGTGTTACAAATACATTTATGTCAAACACAGTGTACACACAGGCACCTCACACAAATGAGAATAAGTAAATTAATAAATCATAAATTAGCTATTTAGCAGGGTCTTATAGAAAAATTGACAAAGATAGAAGAATTTGTCAATTTTGCTCTTTAAATTCAATTGAAGACGAAATCTTATTTCTTATGGAATATCCATCATTCGAACAACAACGACAAATTATGTTAAATTCTGCTTTTAGAATTATGTAATAATTCCAAAAACTAAAAACAGAAAACAGATTTATTTGGTTTCTTTCTATTTAATATGAAATATACAACAATGTGGCTTTAATTTGTTATGCATGTATACAATAAAGAAAACAACTGCTATAGTTAAATCCATATTATCATACACATTATCATTATTGTTTCTTTACTTATGTCTATCTACAATCATTATATGTAGCATGCCCTTTATGAGCCGAAAATTGGTTTAATGAAGTTTTCGTATTCGTACAGTGATATGAATTTCTTTTTTTGAGACTCCGAAACGCTTCGCTCAAAAATATCGATACCTTCAGGATGTAAAAATCAGTTTGGCAAAATACATTTGTTGGTATCTTTCAAGGTTACAAAGGAGTAGTTTGCAAAGACAAATAGATTTCAAGGAGATAACACTAACAAGAAACAGTGTTCGCTTAAGCGGAAGCAGTTTGAAATCATACATCAAATATCTAAGCGACATCTAGCAGAACAACAAAACAGCGACTGACGAAATAGGCGGTGACAAAAAATTAATCAGAACGAAATCAAATGGTATTTTCATATTTTGTAGAAAGATCCATTTATGAGTAGCTTACGGTTCAACTAATAAGTTTTAGGTCTATATCCATTGAATATACAAATAGAATCAAATACGCTTTAATCAAAGTCGGCCACATTGGTAACACTACGTACAGGATACAACATAACCTCGCATTGAGCTTTGATTTTGAACCGACATAAGGTATTTAGAAAAACAATCAATTTTATACAAAGGATGCAACACATACGTATACAATTTAGATTTTGGTATTTTTTGTGATATTTTGTCTTAAACCTATCTGATGAGATAGCATCAACAGATCATGAAACGTTCTTTATGCTATCAGAAAGTAACATTCTCAAGACCATTTTCTCACCCGATTCTATAAAATTAATCTTCATTTTCATATTACACGTATATTAAGAGTATTATAAATGTATACCTCCTACGTGTAAAACAATACACCTGTAGCTCGCAGGTAGCATTGTCGAAGACTCGTTGGCATTTATTGAATAATACTTTAATACAGCTTCAGGTTCCTCTAAAAGCATGAATTTGTCCCTCGATAATCCGACCTGAAGAATACAATATTCATCTTATTGCAGGACAACCAACTTTTCAGAAAATACAGTTTTTGACATTGAATTTCCTTATTTATTTAAATGCTTCATAGCTATTTGTCCAAAACATGTAACATGTGTTCTTTGTAAAATTGATCAAGGAAATCTAAAGGAAAACTGTGTTTAACGCTACTTCCAGCGAGATTGTCTATATTGGAAAAAGGATGGCAATGTCTACGGACCTTTAATAGAATTTTGTATACATGTATCTATTAAACAGCAACCCACATTTCTTATATTATAACTCTAGGATAGGGTTTGGCCTATACTATCGCTCTAGGATTTTATAACTACAAGTACAATTGTATGTCAAATATTTAAAACGTTTTATTTGGTAATTTATTAACTGGTTTATACCACGAGTTTATAAATGTGTTAATCCCGTGTTTGTTTACGATTGAAACAAATATCTACTGGATGCAATACATTAAGTTTCATCTACGTCATATGCAGGTTCTAGAATATTTATCAAACAATTGCGATAAAGAGTGACCAGTCTGCTTTTACAACTAGATGCTAATCATTGGCTGTAGTCCGACTTAAAAAGTACCAGACTATCTATACTTTATATATATATATATATATGATAAAGTCTTGTTCACTATAATTAGGTCTGGACAGACCTGGCTGTGTAACAAAAAAAGTTATCGATAGTAGTCAATATTTCATGTGTCCTGGTACAAGTTTTAAGTAAATTATCTATATCGTTAGTTGCATGCTACAAGAATCAAAGCTAAGTCTCAGATGTCCAATTTCAATCGGACTTTACAGTTAGTTTCAGAGTAAAATATAAACATATAAACTAGGGTAGTGTTATAGACCAACCATTGATATACTAGTAGGTGTAATGAACAGACGGATAAAATGTAACTATCCTGACCTACCTACAGTGGTCGTATCAAGGAGGAAAACACATTTATAGCCTGACTTTTTGAAACCTGGATTTCATGTTAATAGCAGTGAAATAATCAAAAACTTAACATTGAATTATTCAGAAAAAGGTGTTAATCAATACAAGTTTAACCACAGTAGTCTCGTTCTGTGGTTAATATGGTTATGAGCAAACGGTCTGTTGAAAAGTATGACTGAAATGCAAATTTACATACCAATTTTTAATACATCCATTAGTTTTTAATGTTTTATGCACACCGCTTAATTAGAAAAGGCAGAATTTCTTACGTGTTTATTATGAAAAACCTTAACTTCTGTAGCTTAATGCATACGGGCCCTGGTATAAAACGCATGTCAGTGCATGGTTTAAGGTTGAAGTGAACCTTTTGCTTTAAATTGCTGTGTTTACACCTCAACAAATATTCTGAGTACAGACAAACCTGTGCATCTGGAAAAAGTTTAGGTATAGCATGAACGAGATAGATAAAATTAAAATGCCATTTATGTTTCAGAAAATGTAAAACTCAACTGCAATGCCCTTTTCTCGTTCCTACAGAAGGTGCCAAAATAAACAATGTTTGGAAAGAAGACTGAGAACTTTCCCATGAGTAATAATTGAAGTGAACTGTATTGATTGACAATAGACACAAGAAGAACGATAGCTCATATGACAATATTAGGTTGTTAAACTGTGTCACTGAGTAGACCACATCAAGTGAAACCCAGTTGTGTTCCAATTTTATCATCCGTTGCAGGGACGAAAAAAAGTGCAAAACAAAATCAGCTAAGTTTTCAATTTTTCAAAACATATGCTTTAAAGTGCCTCCCCATGCTTTAAAGTGCCTCCCCGTGCTTCAGGTTTATGCTCTTATAACATACTAGATTATAGAGTGTGTGTCCGAGCGAGAACTTCTCTATGTTCATTACTTTAGGAATATTTATCAAAAAGTAGTATTTCAACTTTCAGACCCATTCTTCTATTTAGTCAGACGTCAGTCGCTACCCTGATATACCCTATCTTTTGTTTTATTTTTCGGGTAATTTATGACGGATAGCGTTTGACGTCTTTAGCCGAACAGTTTTATCATATTCACATAATTCAATTTATTGTGTGCTGGTTCATATTCTGGACGTCAGTCTTTGCTCCTTTCTAATAAAATCCACATAATAAAAAACAAATATGAAGCTTAGAAATGGAAAAATATTAAATACTTAACTCGTTCAAAGGGTATCTACACGTCTCAATCTTTAAAATCGCTTATCTAAAAATACTACCATCGCTAACATTTTAAACAATAAAAATCGGTTACCCTTCTATCGATAAGTGTCATGCCAAAATATGACTTACATGTCCCCGTCTTTCCACCAACAATACGGTAAGGTCTACGTTTAATGGTCGCACATTTTCTTTAAATTTTGAAACTGATATAACTTGAAAAACAAACAGTATTATTTATTTATTCACATGAAACAAACCGGGATGTGGTATTCAGTACGTAGGTGAAACTAGATGATATTTATCTAAACGCACGCAAGAACACCTGTATCGTTTTAAAAGACCCAATAAATTCAAAAGTATCATTTTCCAACATCTTAAAAAGCACAATCATCCTATTAAATATTTAACAGTTCAACCTTTACAAGTAGTAAATAAGCAGCCTGGTGAATCTCATTCAAAGTTTGTACGATCACGGAAAATAATTGAATTAAATTGGATTAAAAAATTACAGACAGTCTACCCTCTCGGTCTTAATGATAATGTCATGGGAATTGGTAATATATCAAGAACCGATTCTGTTAACATTTTGGATATAGTTTCTAAAACTGTTCGTAAAAACCGTTCTCATGGGCGTAGAAAAAAATCGCAATCAAAGAAAATTCCGGACTAACCATACAAATATTTCGGACCTAATTTCTATTTCAAAAAACAACGGCAGACATTATCTATTAACCAAGCTCTGTTCTTTACCTATAAATAAATTAAATAAATTTTTAGAGGATTGCAACACAATTTCATATTGCAGTCCTAAGTATGAAATCGTTCAAATTATAATGGCATATTGTTATTCTAAACTGTTTCCCAAAATTGATCGCCCTGAAGATCATAAAAAACATTTTATCAAAATAAAGTATGTCAATAAAGGTTTTGATTTTGTTAATATTGCCGGTATTTTTAACGACCATTCTGTTAAAGAACAAATTTCTGGATATTTTGATAATACTGAACTCCCTCTTATTTGTTATATTTACAAGAAATCTACCCGGAAATTTGTGTTTAATTATAGCCAAGTCTGTAAAGATGTAAATATCAGTGAAAATACACCTACGTTATGTAATTGTAGTAATTCCGAATACACTTATGGCCCCATTTCCCATGTTATAACAGGAGACCTTAACATCGTTCGCGACCGAGAGTTAAAATCATTCCTCAGTAAAGGACCTAAATATCGCCCCCCGTCAATTATTAATTGGAATGAGTGTCGTAATATCATCCACGACTCACTTCGTGCTTACTGTTTGAAATGGATAAAACGGGAAAAAGCTGACAAAAAATCTTTGGACTCTTTTTTTCAATTCAGTAATGAAGATAGTTGATATACGTATACAACATTTTAAAGAACATTTTACTCTTAACAACAACCATAAAAATCCTATTTCTCGTATCAAACATAAACTAAAAGAACTAGCCAAGGAATTTGTTTTTGTCCCGGTTGATAAAGCTGCTAATAATATCATTATAGTTTGAGGTAAATTTTACATTGAGGTTCTGCAAAAGGAAATCACGAATTCACCAACATTCCAACTGACTTCATTTTCAGAAAACGATATCTGTAACAAACATAAACTATTAGCTACTTCTTTACAAGCAGAACCAAATACAATGAAAGTCCCAACTATGTACTGGCTTCCGAAGCTACACAAATCACCTTACAAATATAGATTTATTTCGTCTTCAAGTCGTTGTTCCGCTACTAAATTGTCTATTCTACTTACTAGTACACTTGGTACAATCAAAAACCTGATAATAAATTGTTCAAATAAGGCCTTTGAAAATAGTGGAATTAATTACTTTTGGAGTGTCAAAAACTCATTGGAAGTACTTAATAAATTACATGCATATATTGGTGATTTTGAATCTGTTCAAAGTTTTGATTTTTCTACCCTATATACCACTTTGCCTCATATTCTTATTAAGAAAACATTCACACACCTAATTAAATGGGCATTTAAAAAGTCGGAATGCGAATACATATGTTCAAACTCTTTTAGGTCATTTTTTAGTAGCAACAAACAAAAGAACTATGTCAATTGGACATGCTTTGATACTATATCTGCCCTTGAATTTTTACTTGATAACATTTTTGTTCGCTTTGGAGATTCCGTATATCTTCAAATTATCAGAATTCAAATGGGGACTAACTGTGCACCACTTATTGCGGACCTGTTTTTGTATTGTTATGAGTTATAATTTATGACTAAAATCAGCAAAGACCCATCGAAACAACATCTGATACAAAAATTTAACAATACTTTTAGATATTTGGATGATATATTGGCTCTCAATAATGACGACTTCAGTATGTATACTAAAGAAATTTATCCTGTTGAACTTACTTTAAATAAAGCTAATACTAACAATGACCACTGTCCTTTCCTCGATCTTGATATCTATATCATTAACGGGAAGCTTAATATAAAAATTTATGATGAAAGAGATGATTTTTCATTTCCTATCGTTAATTATCCATTTTTAGATGGTGACGTTCCCTTGTCACCATTTTATGGTGTTTATATATCTCAACTTGTACGATTCGCTCGTGTATGTAACAACGTATTAGATTTTAGCGAGAGAAATTTATGTACTACTGAAAAATTATTACACCAGGGTTTTCGATATCATAAACTAGTCAAAACATTTACTAAATTTTATCATCGGTACAAGGACATCATTCGTAAATATAACTCAACATGCAGACATCTTATACGTTCGGGTATTTCACATCCAATCTTTTATGGTAATATTCTTTACAAAGCACAAAAATGGCAGTATTCACCTCAAAACCTAACAAAACCTTTAAACAGACTTATTAAGAAGGGATATAGTTACGATACTGTTGTCAGGTCATTAAAGATTGCATATTTTGGCTTTAATATTGATTCACTTATAGGGTCTTTGCATCGGAATTAAACACATTTATTCTAAAACCAGTTGTTGGCATGACACGGGTTATGTTCTTCTCATATATTTTATGACGGTATAATACTAAACCCCTAACAGGAGGGATTGTGCCTGATATTCATATGATGAAGACATAATCTTTCAATCAGTTTAATTGAGGTCTGGAGCTGGCATGTCAGTAACTGCTAGTAGTCTGTTGTTATTTATGTATTATTGTCATTTTGTTTTTTTTCTTTTGTTTCCTATTCTGACATCGGACTCGGACTTCTCTTATACTGAGTTTTAATGTGCGTACTGTTGTGCGTTTGTTTTTACTACATTGGCTAGAGGTATAGGGGGAGGGTTGAGATCTCAAAAAACATGTTTAACCCAGCCGCATTTTTGCGCCTGTCCCAAGTCAGGAGCCTCTGGCCTTTGTTAGTCTTGTATCATTTTTAATTTTAGTTTCCTGTGTATAATTTTGAGTTTAGTATGAGGTCCATTATCACTGAACTAGTATACATATTTGTTTAGGGGCCAGCTGAAGGACGCCTCCGGATGCGGGAGTTTCTCGCTGCATTGAAGACCCATTGGTGGCCTTCGGCTGTTGTCTGCTCTATGATCGGGTCGTTGTCTCTTTGACACATTCCCCATTTCCATTCTCAATTTTATTTAAAACTTTTCCATTAAAAGATCGTCAAAAGGACACCAATACGTCAGATGGGAATGTTATCATCAAAGAACATACCATTTCAGCTGCTTTAGACATAATTTGCTTGCTTTTGTCACTTCATATAGCTGGTACAGTAAATACCCATTGAATATCAGTATTTGATTCACCATTGAATATTTCTTTTAAAAGTTTATGTTTCATGTTCTTGATAAAAGAAGTGATAATATCAACAGCCTTCATCCTGCTTTTCTTCTGCACATCCCATATCGCTATATCCTCCCAATCCATTTCCTTGATATAAGTCAAAATGTAAAACAAAATAGGTATGATGCACTTAATTTTCACAACTCAAGCAAATGACGAAGGAATATTTTCATACTTTGATGCAATTTGATATTTAACCAAATTCCCGTTAACTGTTAGAATGTTTACATCATTGATATAACTTATTGCTGGTACATGTACGATTTAAAGGTAAATTGACTCTAAAATATATTAAGATATTTTTTTAAATCTCAAAATTAACTTTTTCATGAGTTATACAGCCATGCAATTTCAGAATTTAAGAAATATTGTTTAATTATGCAAATTCTTGACTACGAGTAAATGATGTGAACACGCTCTAATATAATATGAAGCACAAAAAAATAAATAATACCTTTTAAATTTAGTGCGTTCGATGCACTTTTCGTTTACAAAATGTATCATGTGTACCTTAATCAGGAAAACAACCGTCGCACAAAAAGATATTTAACAATAAGTTTATTTTTTGTTTATCTTTTACCTAGCAAAACAATAAGTTTTGGGCCACACTCCGCGTGTTCTATGTTTATCTAGACAAAATGATTTTGCAATAAATATAAATTCAGGAGTTGTGGTATGATAACAAAAAAATGGAACTATCAACCAGACCCACGAGACGTCATTGTAAGCCCTTTAAAGCTTGCTGTTCGGTGTGAGCTAATGCTCCGTGTTGAAAGCCGTACTTTGACCTATAATTGTTTACTTTTTACACATTGTGACTTGGATGGAGAGTTGGACAACACCGAACAGCAACTATAAAGGGCCCCAAAATGACTAGTGTAAAACAATTCAGACGGGAAAACCAACGGTCTAATCTACATAAAAACGTTAAAGAGCAACTCCTATGACCCACACTAACAAACGACAACCACTGAACAACAGGCTCCTGACTTCAGACAGGCGCATACAAATGCAGCGGGTTTAAACGTTTTAACAGGCGTCAACCTTCACCCTAACATGAGACATTAGTGTAACATTACATAATGTTTTATGTGGAATCATTCTTTCACAATAAAGCCTTATAAAGGGATATAATTTTAGTCAACGTCGTCACACATTTTAGTAATGAACATAAACGTCCATTGAGATACGACCTTGAGACTACAATGCAACCACGCACATACTTTAACAAGTTTCAAACCGCTAAAAATCCAGGCTCACGAAAGATGCCATGTGTATTGCCATATGTACTATGCCACATGTTTAGTGAAAATTCGCAACAATATCATAGATATACAAATAAGGAGATTTGGTATGATTGACAATGAGACAACTATCCACAATAGTTCAAATATAAGCTATTATATGCAACTGTACGGCCTTCAACAATGAGGAAAAACCCATACCGTATAGTCGGCTATGAGAAGCCTCGACACAACAAATGTGAAACAATTCAAACGGGATAACCAATGGCATAATTTAAAACAAACAATTTACGAAAAACAAATATGACAGACATTAACCAACGACAATTACGAATTAACAGGTGCCTGACTTGGGACAGGCACATAACGAATGTGGCGGGGTTAAACATGTTTGTAAACGCTCAACCCTCATCTAATATGGAACAGTGGTGTAGCAAAACAACAAAAGAATAAACTGTAAATCAGTAGCAATTGCTCTTACTGAAAAGATTGGTACGCGACACAATAACAACTAACATAAAAACAATAGACACTAAGCACCGAAATAAGAAGTACATGCAGTTACTTAAAGCTAGTTCAAAGCCAATTGCAACTAATAAATAAATTATTTTCTCCCAGACGAAAGTTTCAGTTAGTACACATCCAAATGATTTAGTGTGAAGACGTCATAAACATTCTGAGAATCGCATGACATTGTGCAAGGCATGAAAATAAGTAAACAATATCGAGAGGATGTAGGATATATACAGTGTTCTATTAGCTGTTCATATTAGACAATATATATTTAGTTATGTATTAATTTTTCAAATCAAAATCAATGTTAGTACCAATAAAAACAATATTTTTAAAAATGTGACTACTGTGTAATTAATAGTATCAATAATTTTAATTGACTAACCTGTTCCTTGCATAATGTTAGCATAAAGTTTTTGTAATATGGCCTTTCATCAAGATTATCTTGATTTCGTCCACAATGCCTCCATTCTGCATCGTCACCGATGCTATCAGCGGTTTTATTTGGTCTGAATAAAATTGCCGTAGATGTTTTATTACTGACTCTGCTTTGCTCTTTTGACTTCCATTTTAGAAGAAACATAAGCTTTTCTTGGTGGGAATCCCAAAGGCAAACGGCAATTCCAGAACATGTCAAGCCAATTTCTAAAGCAACAATTACGTCATTTTTGCCCTATAAATATCAAACAGGATTTTTGTCTATATATTTTTTACAAAACAAAAACAACAATCAAACATAAAAATTACACATAGCACGAAATTTATTGCATATTATAAGATTTTGATGCTGTATTTGTACCTTACAGTGGATCAACATTCATTTTAGCTGTTTTAAACTCCTTGAACTAAATTTACTTTTGACAGAATTTACCTATTTTGTTCTTTCATTGCCTTATGCATTGTGTTTGTATTGTAGTGTTTAGTCAGACATTGTATAAGCCTGGTTTCTTTGATTTGATCTTAGTTGTTTATCCAAATGTGTCCTAGCTCAGTAAAGCAACGGTGTTTATGCTGGTGAATCCAGAAAAGACAATCGGATGCATAAACTTTAGATTTTTTTACCTTCATTTTTTAAAAGTCAATACTAATGCTGGTGGAATATTTAGTCCCCGAGTGTATCGTACGCTCATAAGTAGATCCGCGGTATTGACATAATTTATAACTTACTTTTTTTTAAATTGCACGTTTGGTGAATTAAAAAAATATTCAGAAACTCTCAAAGACAAAGTTGACCTTAGATTAATTTTATACGCACAAATATTAAAAAAAAATACGATAAAATTGTTTTATTAGATCTTGATAGAGATACCTATGTAGACGGTGATCCTAATTCTGTATAGAATGCAAGGGTAAATGTTTTCATTTCAAAAAGATGACTAATTCCAGACTCATTTTTGTCGTATTATACATGACAATAAAACAATAACGGGTTGCATGACGTCATCTGCTTTCTCTTTATCTGCTTCCAGTAGTTGGAGTTTACACGTTGTCTTCACACCAAAAGATGTTTATTTTCCACATTGTATTACCGGCTGTCGGGGTGGCAGATGTAATTGACGATAAATATAAAAAATCTACTGTACACGATTGTATTGGCAGATCCAAAAAGACAAACAAAACTTTGCTATACCCTTAAGCAAATAACTATTTGAATAGCAACCGGGAACGACGTTACACCTATTTTTTGATTTTATGATATCTAGACTATGCGATACAAACGGGTTAATAAAACTCTGAAAAGTACATATGAAGATCATGTGGTTAACGCATTACGATTTCACATGATCGTAATTAATACGTATGACACTCGTTATTACTGGCCTACCTGTTAACATCATGCATTATACATATTTCAAACGAGACACCAACGCAAATATATGCAATACAGTTGGAATCAGTTATTTTCTCTCATTAGAACTCATAGAATAATGACTCAAGAAATTTATAAAATATTGTCTTCATTTACTAGCACAGGGTTGATACTACACTGCTGGTGGATTCTCAATCCCCGAGGGTTTCATCAATTGAGTAGTCACTAACATGTTTTTTAACAAATTTTTATTTTATTCTCAATTGATAAATTCAGAAATTATTGAGAAATAAGGTTTCAACTCCATCAGGTCCCTTTTTTGTCATATACCTCTTATCATATTAAGGTTTTATACACCCTTTAAAATGTTGGGTATTGGCGTTCCTGATAGAGGTAAATCCAGACAAAAAACGTTTCGGGCGAACGAAATTAATATAAAGTTGCTATTTTTAAACAGTTCTACCCTAAAACAGCACCATTTGACCTTAACTCTTATCCGCAACTATATTTAGGCTCAATTTACTATTCCAAGAGGCTAAAAAACAAACTTCCATTATGGATACAAATTCTTCCAAGGATAATAAAACATGTTATATTTTTAATGTAGAATTTGCTATCAAGAGTTTGGAAGCCATCAGTATAGGCAATATTTATGCAATATCTGATATGCGTCGTGCATGAGTGGCGTATTAATGAATAGACCCTGTTATGATGATGAGTTTCCAAACTGTTGTGTCGATGATGGCACTGCTTTTGAATGTTTCCTACCCAGGAGTATCACCAGGTAAGTAGTAAGTACTTCATTTTTGACATGAAAGCTCCTTAATATTGTTATATGCGGTTAGTTTACTAATTCAAAACAACAATGTATATTTTTTTCCTTGGATTTGACAAATTTTTTTAATTATGGGCTTTTTAAGCGCTCTTAACTCTAAGCATTGATTTTGCTTTATAAATGTTTTGATTAGATTATAACTTGTGTCTCCCTGGGAGAAAAAATGCGCGTTTGAATTATTGAATTATTATCCGCGCGAATGTGTTTAAGGGGCTTTTACATTATAAATTAAGATACCAAGCATTAGTACAATCAACTAAAAACACATGTGTATGTTACCTTTGAATGAATTAACGGTTCGCTGAGTCTGTTCCTCAGTAGCAGTAGCGCTACCTGTTGTTAAAAGAGAACACATAAGTAACTACAGCAAAGAAACGTGAATAATTGATTATCAATTTTAAAAGAAGGATATCATATTGCGTTCAATTATATCATTTGCAATCGATAATGGCATTTCGGTGTGTCAACTCTAACTACATACTATCATTTAATCATATTATACAAAGACACTTTTACAAATAGAAATTAAATATAATTCTAAAAAACAGGATCTCAAAGTTTGTTCGTAGTATAATGATCGAAAAACGATCGAATAGTGGGCGACTGGTCACATTAAAGTCAGCATGGTATAAATGTAGAAAAGCAATGAATCGTGTATACATGTAGCTGTTAGCATCTGTTGTACTTTCATGATGATTAGTCATGTTTGGTGAAAGTAAAACGTAAGCTTTATTTAGGTGGCTTTATGCACTTAACAAAAACAAAGTCTTACCGTAATTTACAACTGCAATCACTGCTCCAACATTTAGCTTTCTTACCTCTTTCTTATTGATGTATTTCTTTCTTTTTTCCTTGAATGCACCTGTTGTACCTTTTATAGCATTTAAAATGGAAATATCAAAAATACGAAAATTGAGCATTTTGGGAATGATCAATGTACGATAACTTTATAGCTTATATATAACTACAAGATATGATATATTATTTGAACTACAATAAAGGTTACATCAAATATTTCAGGTGTATATTTAATCTTTTTTTAAATCAACGACCACAGCAAAGAACCTTTATGTATGCGGACTGTATAGACAGGAAACATACATGCTTCCCCCTTTTTTCTGAATTTACATTGGAGTTTGGTAATATTCTTATACTTTTTATGCAATCTAAATCACTTAATTTAAAAACTGTCGTGGTATATCAATTCATGAAACCGTCAATGCTAGTTCTTTTGATTTTTCAGTATATCTGTTCCCGTTTCCTAATAAAAATTGATTATGCTATAGAATAGTTCTTTTGTTGTTTGCTTTCATAATCATAACAATATATCTCTTCGGCTGTCAGCAATAGCCACGCCACATACTAATACTACCATGTTGTTGTGAAAAATGTTAATAACCATTATGTCAAATGATGCGTCAAATATTACGTTTTTGTGTATTTTATCGCTTTGAAGCTAAGTTTGAATAGGCCAAAATATGTCAATGTAGCAACTATTTATATTGATCACTTGTATATATTCACAATGACATCATATTATTTCACATCTAATAACATCCATTATTAAGAAGAAACACAAAAGATAGCAAGTATTCTACTTTACCTTGGTCAAGTGTTTTTTCTTGATTTACTAGATACACGTTATCGTTTGATTCTCCAAAAATCACTTCTGTTTTATCTTTTGCTGAGGAAAATGAGACATTTGTGCACTCAACAATGATTGGGAATTCAGCAAAAACTGATGAAAAAATATACAGTTTTAAATTACTAATTTTGCATTATAGACACACGTCCACTCTGTGTTTTTGTTAGGTGTATTTCTATTTGTAGCCATCTGATGAATTAAGCCTTTTTCAACTGATTTTTTTAGTTTGTACTGTTACACCACTGTCACAGGTTGGGTTGGGGTTGTCGCCTTCAAACTAGTTTAACCAAGCTACATTATGTATTATTATTAAGTCAGAAGCCTGCCGTTCATTGGTTGTCGTTTGTTGCTGTGTATCAGTTTTCTCGTTTAAAATGTTTTACATTTGTCATTTCGGGGCCTTTTATAACTGACTATGCTGCATGGGTTTAACTCATTGTTGAAAGTCATACGGTGTTCTATAGTTGATAATTCCTGTCTCATTTTGTCTCTCGTGATGAAAGTAGTCTCATTAGCATTTATACCACATCTTCTTATTTTTAAATTATGATATAAAGGATGTTGATGGAAGAATAAGAATTGAAACAGCTCACAACAATAGACATTACATGTCATTCCCTTTTATCAATTAGAGCAGAGATTTTTTTCAATTTTAATAACCTTTTTTTCCACAGTTTAATTGATATTCAGAATTTTCTTAAACGTTCATTCCACACTGAAATCCAATATATTTTTCATATTATATATTATATAATCATAAAAATAAGAAGATGTGGTATGATTGCCAATGAGACAACTCTCCACCAGATACAAAATGACATAGAGTTAACAACTATAGGTTACCGTACGGCCTTCAACAATGAGCAATACTCATACCACATAGTCAGCTAAAAAGACCCCGAAATGACAAATGTAAAACAATTCAAACGAGAAAACTATTTGTATATCATCAGTCCACTAAATTTCCTTTTAAAAGAGGGACGAAACATACCAGAGGGACAATCAAACTCATAAGGCGAAAATAAACTGACAACGCCATGGCTGAATTGGTGTCAAAGCTGTAAACATTTCAATAATTCTAAAACTATTCCACCGTGTTCTAAGATATCATGACCAATACATGAACATATTTAAAAATCTATTTACACATAATTCAAAAGTAAAACTATAAGTACTTTCTAGACTAATAAATAACAAAATAACGATATCAATGAATCATTATTTTAAATTTTTTCTCATTTAAAAAAAAAATGCATTTCCTTATTAAGAATTTTTTTAAAACATGCATTGCAATCCTATCACTTCGTCGTGTTTTGTAACAATTACACATAGTTCTTTTTAAGTGTCTAATCATTTTTTTGATAAACTTTCTGGGAAAATATATTTTTGAATCCTATAAGTTTTGAATTTTATATAACTAAACCAGTCAGTGTCTTCCTCCTTATTTGTAAAATGTCTGATACTCAAACAAGGTATGACATATGTCATTATTCTTGAAATCTATAACAAATCAATGTAGATGGCTTCGATAAAAGAAAATTAGAAAAACGTGTGGCTTATTTAAAAGTGTTTACCACATTTTTGAGGTTATTTCGAAAAGACAGAACAAATATTACAGTAATTCCTTTTAATTAATTATAAATTCCATTTGTAAAAGAGAGGCGAAAGATACCAGAGGGACATTCAAAATCATAAGTCGAAAATAAACTGACAACGTCATGGCTAAAAAAAGAAAAAGACCAACAGACAAACAATAATACACAAAACACAACATAGAACACTAAAGAATGAGCAATACGGAACCCATCAGAAACTGGGAGTGATCTCAGGTGCTCCAGAAGGGTAAGTAGATCCTGCTCAATATGTGACACCCGTCGTGTTGCTTATGTTAGTACAAACCCGGTTATAAGTCTTTATTCGGTAGGTCAGTTTCGTGAAAAGAGGACAGGATTGAAGTAACGACATTAGAAACATATCCGTTATCATCTGTGAAACGGATATTCCATTACGGTCAACCAACTCGTGATGGCGTTCGTATAAATTGGCGACTGTCATCTGTCGTCGTTATTGTCGTACGTTATACTTTTACTTATACAAAAATATTCTCTTTAAAGAAATACGTTAAATTTAATTAAACTTGAATGACGATTTTACCGACTGACTTTGTGTTTATGTGTGCGTGAACTACAATAGATGGAGAGAAACTGTTAAAAGTTGGAAATTTTCAGCTGGAGATGAATAAAATCAGTCAAAGTGCCTGAAATCGTCACTCTGCTCCTTATATGATTAACTGTCCTTTAAGAATGATATTGCATTTTTTGCGTTTCATCTTGAAACGATTTGAAAAAATCGACATTGCATTAAATCAATTGTATGCAAATTTAACAGGTGAGCAATATAGGCTCCGTGGTGAAGCACTGAGTCTTTTTTTTGAATATCAATCTAATATATTTATAGCAATATCTATGTTACTGTACAAAATGCAAGTCTCTACTTACCCAGAATACAAAGTATGGCAATGACAGAAACCAAGACTGAAAGTGTAATATAAAATTGATAAACGTTTATATATGTTGAAATAAACAAATATTTTGAAGAGTGAATACATTGCAATCACTGAATTTTTCATACTATGTTTGTCACATTTGTCAAGTATTATTGAAGCTTGAATCCTTTTTGTTTTGTGTTGTTTTCTGTTAACATTAAACACTTGGTTTGGTTTGGATAAACAGCGGATATGTTTACTGCTAGATTTAATTGTTTGAGATGCAGTTAAAGTATTAACCTATAGTTTGCATTGTAGTGCACCATGTGCGTGATGAGCAATACTAGTATACAAAAATGAACACCTCAATTTGCGATGTCACAGAAATTATTATAAAACAACATATAATTATTTTCACGAGTTTTCGTTTCAGATGGCTTCAATTTCTTCACCCAATTTTTTTTCTTTCAAATCCACGAATTAAAGAACCCACGAACATGCAACTTTTGCTCAAACCACGAAAATGAATAATCACGAATAAAAGTACTTTCACAGTATACAAATGACCACGCTCTTTAGCATGACATTTGAATACATAATAATTTAACGAAACACACGAAATAATCTTCAATGTGTTTACCTTCAACAATGCATATACTATGCATTACATGACCATCTATATGTCATCGTAGTAGCAAAATATTATTTTCAAAGTCTTTAACAAATTATAAATACGTAACACAATTCATATAAAAAAATAAACACAAAATAAGCAACGTAAAAGCTGTAAAAATTCCCAAAAAAGGAACGAAAAAAATATAAACGACTTACCTATTATTAGAAATATAAACAACGGTATGGTCGAGGTGTTTGCCACTTGCGTGCTGTTAGAATCCTTTACGGCTGCAGATAAGAAAACAAACCCCAATATAAATAACACAGCATATTTTGTTGTTATTTGGAATATCGAACAACATAAAGCAAACAGCCGCAAATAAAAAAAATAATATCATGGAATCTCACATGACAATAATTTTAGCAATGCATTATTTAAATGCATTTATTTTAAGCAGCAAACATTTTTAAAGCTTTTAACCAATGTTCTCTCCTGTAAATCATTTCCGTCAAGAGCTTCTAAGAACCTTTACTAAATTAATGAAAAGAGATAATTTTTACATCAAGTCGTGATATTAATGATTCATGCCTGTTTTTTTCTTTTTTTTATAGAAGAACTGTATTAAATGTATAAAGTATACCTCGAAGGAACATCGTGCCATTTGTCTATTCAAACGCATCTTTCAAACGTTACAAATACGTTGTCAAGGAAAAAAATCGAGGATCATTAAATTGTCAGTTACGGTGAACTTTTTGTTTAAATTTAATTGTTAAATTTAATTAAACATCGAATAAAAATACAACTATAAATAACGCACGACTGATGTTCAGAGATATATTTTATTCCCTCCTCCTTTATATTTATCTTATCGAATGGTCATTGTGTAGTAATCGTTCGTTAACTGTTTTTCTGGCTAGAGTTATTAACATTATGCATTACGCTGAATAACCAAATTAAGAATGGTAATTTTCATCTGTTAAGCATTAGAACAAAGATTTAGTCTAGTAAAGGAAAATTTACCTCAGATTCGTGTTTTACGTTCATATTATTCTAATTATTAGACTTCCAAACCATTTGTTCTGAATTATCCTTAATTTTGAACTGAATGATGTTTTTATAAAAGTCGGAGCTCCAAAACTTTTGAACGGAAGGTCAAAAGAATTTAAAAAAAACCCATCTTTTTCCATCAAACAGAAATAACATAATTTCAAATACCTTCGACATCCGTTGTTATATAGGTGGTATAAATTGTGTCTCTGTGAATAAAACATTATCAGATTACATATAGTAGAAGGCGTGAAAATGAATCTGAACTATTTTGCTGAATTTATATATAATGTACTATTCATACCTAATGATCTGTTGTTGTTTTCGTTAGTATTTCTGATCCACGAAATTAAATGTTCACATTATGCAAATTATCTGTTGACTAACATGATGTATTTGATTATTTTATAAATAACCCCCGTTTTTGGTGGGGTTCGTGTTGCTCAGTCTTTAGTTTTAATTGTACGGTGTGTTTTGTATACTGTTGTTTGTCGTTGGTCTTCTTTAATTGCCATGGTGTCAGTTTATTTTCGGCTTATGAGTTTGAATGTCCTATAGTATCGTTCGTCTCCCTTTCATATATCAAACTAAGATGAAAAACGCTACACCGTAAACTACAAAACACGGGTTGAGTTCTACCTATAATTATTTATCTTAAAATACTTACAAAACAGGTGATACATCTTGACATGAAGAGATTTCATGAATTGAAGGCTTACACTGATAATCTGCAGTAGATACATATTGAAAATAAAAGAAACTTGTCATATATAAGTTATGAAGCTGGTAAAATAACCTTAAGGAAAAGGACTGTATGATTTCCTCATATTATTTTTCATGTACATTTTGTAAGTGGGCATTGTTTAAGAGTTGCATGAAGAAATAAATCTGGTGCCAATGAAATCGTTACCAAATGTTTAACATCATACGAATTTCGTGATTAAAAAAAAAATAGATTATATTAAATTATTTTCCTTTTAGTATAGATGCATTTTTTTAATTCTGAAACATAACTGAGCGACCAAACCATTGCATCAAATATCACATAAATATTGTTACGGCAACACACGGCTTGAGTAATATACATATATATATTTATATATATAGAATGCGTATAAAATTGTGTATCAGAAGAAGAATGCATTCCGATTATGATGACGAATTTCAAATATAATATTGATAATGGAACCAAATAATGATGACAGCACTAGTTTATTTATTGTATTATAGTTGTGGATAACTTTAAGAGAGCATTCAATAAAAATCCACAAAATCAACATCTTAATCAATCATGCAACTAAATTCAGTTAAAACACGATTATTATTTCTGATCAAATTAAAGATGTTGGTATTGTGTACAATGTAGCGGTAAACATGATTACACGTTTGTAATATTGTTTTAGAAACACTTTAGTTTTTAGCGAACTGAGTACAGTAAAAGAAGATTGATACCTATCTGCGAGTAAAATTACACACTCAAAAGTTCATCTCTACGTGGCGATTCTAGTATTCCTATTGTCTGTATCCAATTTCTCATTAGCAGTTTACCTTTTGTCCAAGCGTATGACATTTATGTGTCTCATATGTTCAATTGATACGTTATGCGCGTGCATGTTAATTCATCTCGGACTTCATTAACATGAATTGTTCTATCACATAGACTGCACGAGAAGAATTATACAAAACGACTTAAATCTACATTGCATACGAATTTACGCCATTCAAAATTAAATATGTGATGAATCTTGTTATCTCCTGAAAACTCATGCTTTTGCGTTCGTAGATATTTAACCAGCAGAAAGTATGATATATACTTTTCATGATCGTCCCCTATTCCCTGTTGTTTCATATCTGACTGAGTCATCAGTCACATTGTAGGTACATGTAATGCATATATGGCAAGAGACAGTAATCGGTATAACAACATACGTGTTATAGAGATATGTCAAGTATTTAGCAACATATCGTGAAAAATAACCATTCGTTGGTACATCATCGGTATTTTCATAAATGGATTAAATTGAACACATTTAAAGCCGACAGCATTATTATTATTGACCTGTGGATAAAAACGTGTTTAAGGACTATGCCAAGTAAGGTTTCTTAGTTATTTGAGAGGAAGATACGACTAGAGCATACAATTGCCTGCATTTCCGTTAACTTTGAACTTACATATACTCATTTTTGATAAATAAAACATAAAAACAATTACAGAAATCATTAAGGTTACTAGACAGCAAAACAAACCCCAACAACAAGTGTTGTTGTCTTGCTGACGTATTACCTTTCTATCATTTTATAAAATATTATTCTATTTATATGTATATAAACACTATCCTTCTTTCTGAAATGTAAGCCTTACCTGATGTAAGAGTATGATTTAAAGGACATGACTTTTTATAACAGGTGCAGTCCTCATTGGATGGTGTACAGTAACAATGACGATTTGGGTCGCTAAGAAAGGCAAATCCTCGTGTATGATCGCAACGACAAACACTGTCACCAGAAGGTGAACCGATATCAGACATAATCTGTCCAATTTCATTACAAGGAGATTTCAAAAACACACACCGACTGAGCTGATGTGACCAAAATTTAAATGGTTGATACCGCCATAATTCACATTTAGTGTTCTTTCTGAAAACTCCAATTACATACTTCTGTCCTAAAAAAAAATGTTAAACTATTGATAACAACTTTGATTTGTTATTATTCTAAAAAATGAGTGTTGTCTAATTGACATAAACCATCAGCTTTTTTCTATATTGTTTTTTATAGAATTGATATATCATTTTATATAATCATGTATCTGAGTTTATCCCGTTCAAATACTAGTTTTTTTTTAGCTAAGTTGGTTTAACACTAGAAGGGTTTTGTTTACTTCACCGGATAGTATACTTACTCTACAAAATCAAATATTTTGAAAAAAAAATGAGAAATAATTAATACAAAATGTTCAGGCGTATAAATCCCTGTAACTCCTTTTTGTCGAATAAAAAGTGAATATAAATATTAACATTAGAATAGTTTATGTATCAATATTATTATTCTTATCAATGAGTAGTCGTTAGATTATGATAGCTGTATTTAGCGAAACCTTTTTGGAACTTTGGGCCCTTTATTCACTTAACTTTCGTGCGTTATTTGAACTTTTAACTATTTATTTTATTCGAGCGTCACTGATGATGTTTTTGTCTGGCGTACAAAATAAATTATCAGTCTGGTATTCTTTATGAGTTAATTTTAAAACTTTCAGTTTGTTTTCTACAAAATAAGTTGTAAAACATACTATGATGATATATTTCATTGTGTATATTATAAGCTTATGCAATATTGTTACATAAACATTTTGACCTTTGAGGTAGATAGGGTGTCTTCCTTCATCTTGGATTTTGAAATACCAGAAAACAATCGGTCTAGAACTATAATAAAAGGTGCAAATTTTGAGAGTAGTAGATAATTCATGTGTAAGAATTTTCATTTCAATATAGAAAATGACATATTTTATCATATTCATGGTTGTATTTTACAAAAAAACAGAATACTTTTGTTTGATTCTATCTTTTCCAACTTTGCCACATAAGGGGAGGCAACTCAAATGTAAGGGCAGATAATTCAGATAAAGTTACTTTTACAATAGAATGTGTTAGGAATTTACCTATTTTATTATGTAGCTAGAAAACGGGTCCCGTGACCCCATTTTTTCTTTTTCTTATCTGAAAGCATACTATTAGAGCTATCTTCTCATATTTTATCTCAAAATTCTATGGTGTAGTTTTTGTTTTATGGCTTAAAATTGGGTTTTCCATGCATAATCGATACAAAATCTGTCAATTTTGCACAACCTATAGCGTGAAAATAAGCCCCGTGGCCCATTCTTTTTATTATTTTTTTTTAAAAAGCATGATATAAACTACATTTTGGCAAATTATTAAAAAATTCTATGGATTATAATTTAGACACCCCATCTACCTTAATGGCAAATGAAAATTACACTTTATACATTACGTATGTCAGAAACGCCTGTTTTGGTTTATCATAATCAGGAACTCTAAAACTGTAACGATTGGAGGGCAATACGTAAAAACATTAGGAGCTGTATGTTAAGCTTAAGAAAACAATACTCACTTTATTAAAGTAGAACCCAGTATATGTTTCAGTATTTGTAACAAGTGTAAAACATATCAACAATATAAGACATCAACGCGCAACTGACGAAAACTTAATAAGTATTGGAAGTCCTTTCATTTCAGTTGTTATTGAATGATAATAATGACCGGTAAATAATTTTCGTATTCTGCATGACTAAGATGAATACAGCTTCACCGAAATATATTTTAACCTATTCAAACAAGAGCTTATTAAATCAACATGACCTGTAGGTTAGCGCGACAACACTCTACACACGATTTTAAGTTTCATTGAAAAAAAAGTTTCTAGAGATAAAAAAAATTATCTATTTGTGTAGTTGCTAATCTAAAATTGAGTATAAATAGAAACAAAAGAAGATGTGGTATGATTGCCTATGAGACAACTCTCTTCAAGGGACCAAATTGTCACAGAAATTAACAACAATAGTTACTTATATACACTTATTACATGTACCTGTCTAACAAAATCGGCAGAATCCATACATGATTCTTGATATGTATTGGACTGTTCGTCCAACAAACACGAATAATGATCAGGTGACTTTTCTTTGCATATTTCCTGAATTCTTAATTTTCTATGCAATTGCCCTGGACACATAAATTCATATGTTAAAATTCCATACACAGAAAGCCAACACAGACGCCACTGAAACAAAAAACACAAACAAAATAATGAAAAGAAATCTGTTTTGTACCGACATAAAATGATAACATTTATGTTGTCGTATTAGTATGATTTCTACCTAAAAATATTTAACATCAGCATGAAAATTTTATAGTGTATTGCACAAACTAACTATTGTGTAAAACGTTTGCTTGAAGTCGTCGAAATATTGTTTCAATTTATTACAAATGGGGTTCTAAATTCAAATGCTCTGTATCTGATTAGAGATTGCTTTGTACTGAAATATAAAACTTGATACTTCAAATTCTTGCAATTAACGCGATGATTTGAAGTTTAGTTTTTGGTATAACAAAGGTCTTTCTCCGGATACCAAGATTTCTTTTCGTAAGGTTTTTCGTCATTTTTTTTTTATATTCCTTTGGAAAAGTTCTTAGTTTGAGTCTTTAAATATTTTGTTTTAAGGCATCATCTCCATTGATGTAAAATGTATTGTTGCCATTACAACATAAACAATAAAAAAAACCTACATCTAGAAGAGCAATACAGTTTTAAACAACATACAAGTACACACATATATCTACAAACTATGCAACTCGTTCAATTGTCATTGGTTTGGTTATATATTAGCATCGACTTTAAAAGCGTAAATCATTACCTATTACCCTTAAAAAGTAAGAAATGATTGTGATTCTGAGAAAAATGTGCTGGCCACACAATACAATCCTGTGGCAATGATTTATCGTGTTGTTTAGTATAAATAATGACAACAGACAGATTTTTATCTAGTCTGCGGCACATATGTTGAAAGTCAAAACAAAGGCGTGTGCTTGTTGTGAATGAATACATTAAGAATTTGCTTTTATCAAGTGTATATTCCATTCAGATAAACACTAATTTTAATTTCAATATGATGATCAATGTTTTTCTCTGTATTAATATATATGAATGCAACATAAGATGAAAACATCATATAAAGTTTTGAAATAGTATTGCATGTTTACTAAAACAAAATAAAAATGTTCAAGTCTGAATACAGAATACAAACAACGTTGTCTCGCAAAATGTCATCTCAAGACAGATGACACAATAATGAGGCAGTTTTACTTTCAAAAACTGCACCCAATCCAGTACAACGTAGTGTATCTTCCAATGTTACTCAGGAAACTGCAAAAGAAACAGATCTATCTCCAAAAAGTCCAGCTGATCCATTTAATCCGAGGGTATCATCAGTTTTTATTTGTCGAGGAAACCGGAATGCCCGCAGATAACCATCGAACTTCGGACGAAAAACTGACAATCCTAGTCAATTAAGATTGGAGTCAAGCGAACCTGCCACGTGCAGGATTTGAACTCACAACCGCAGTGTTGATAGGCTAGTGATACAGTAGTTCTTCTTTTCTCTGGATAAAATTTTATTAGACCACTCGGTCTAAGAGGCCCCTGATTTTAAAATACAGGAGTTCGGGTCATTCTGAACCTTAAGCCTTCTAATACATATGAGATCATGGGATTTTATCCCTTGTGTTAAAGTCTTCAAAAGTTATATATTTATAGATACTCAAAAATATTCTGAAAAAGAATTGGTGTAAAGTCTTATTTTATAAGATTTAAATATATTTTAAATTATGTAGTAATTTAACATTTCCGTTTTCAATTCACATAATGACTTCTTTCTTTTTTGGTGTTCATTTTGAGTATCTATAAAAACTGCAAATCACAAATTCAGTAATTTTTAAAAACATTTCCGAATATTGTATGTAAAAATTACATTAAGCGTTTTGTACTGCATTCTTATGTTTACTTTTGAAAAATATATGTAAGCTAACAAAAGATAGAGCATTCAGTTTGAATTTTAGTAAAAACTGTGGAAAGATTTGATTAATACTTTATTTTTGTTTCAACAAACTTTGATTATAAATTATGAATTATATGTATATTTGTTTTGCAGAGAATGAGTTTAAGCAGCCAATCCAAGTGGTTTATACCGGTTTGGAAAGTCAGTGAACTTGATCCATAAACAAAATTAAAGGCCACAAACCACTACTTAAAACCCTTGTAAACAATGAAAGAAAACGACTATTCACGACAGACAAAATAAAAAATATTTTCCCAAGACATTTCTATTTTTATGGATCGTAATACTAACTTTAAATTTGTTTGAACACTTTTGGTAGTAAGTTCAAAAAAAAATTGCGGGTGAATTGTAATAAATAAATTATGAAACAGATGTCAGTGGCAATTTTTTCCTTCAAATTATGGGTAATCAATTTTTATGTTTTAATTACATTTTGAATGAAAAAAATTATTTATCCAGTTTGAAGAAAATAAATTCAATTAATTAAAAAAAAAGTGTTTTTCAAGACGCTAAATAATCATTTGATGCATATGATTTAATTCAGGTCAAAGATTCAAAGTCAAATTCATGAGTCTTTGACATAACAAAAATCGAGTTTTTCAAATTATGAAAATTTAATCCCTCATAAGAAAATGTAAAATCTATCCAAAAATAGTTAAAAAGTTGTTTTTTTTTCTAATTATCCTTCTTTGTATCTTTAATCTATTAGACATGGGAAAGTAACAAATGCGCACCGCATCAGCATAAAACAATCGTTTGCCATAGCATAAAAAAATATGTATATAATTTAGCTTTAATAGGCATATGAAATTTGAACCACGAGCTAGCCAAGTAAAGAAAATAAGGCGAGTTCAAAAACAAATAAGGTAAAACATTCTCCGTTAAGTGCTTTTTATGTAGATTTTGTGAAAATATATGAAGGACTTCAGCTAGCATGTTCTTCCAATTTCTCTTGCTATAAATTGGCTATAACAAATGTACTTTATGGTCTATAAACATGATAAATGAAAGCAACACATTTTGCAAATT